TCGGTGGCCAGCTGACACTGGTGCAACGCAGCTCAAAGAGGGAGCCGGCCTCTCCCCTTGGCATCATGCAAAATCATCCTCTTTCCCCCCTCAAAAGCAGCCCCGAGGGCAAAACTCGCCTACCCCTTCTGCAGACAGCTGGATGAGGAGCTCCAGCCACGGGCTGAGGCTGGGAGCAAAAAATAACTGCCCACCCATGCTCTTTATGGGGTATCCTCCATGCCCCAATCTCAGGGTGCCCCGTGTCGTGGCCGGAGCACCCAAATCCTTGCACGCACATGGCCGAGCAGAGCTTGCCTCTAGAGGTCACCACCCACAGCTTGGCACCCCAGGGAACAGTTAAGGACCCGACTCCCAGCCTGATGTCTGAAGGTCACCCACGGGAGCTCACGAGCGGGTGGTAGGCTGAGTCTGCAGCCGCTTCCTGGCCTGGCCAAGCTCACTTTGGAGAGCACAGACCCGAAGCAGGTGGGAAAGAGGATGGGCAGGAGCTCTGGCCCAGCCCATCGCAGCAGGGATTCGCGCACACACAGCAGCCTTTGCTGCCGTCATCTTGTGTGAGGCTGCTTTGCCAGCTCTCGCTGGGGGCTGGGAAAGGTTGGGGTGAGCAGGACCCCCAAACCCTGTTAGCAGCAAGCTGTGTCATGAGGAGAAAAAGCCAAGAGATCCCAGCAGAAAGCAGCAAGTCTTACAAGTCCAGATATAAAAACTACAAGCCCTGCCGTCTGCCTGCATCTAGCAGAAGCAAGAAGTAGGGTCGCCTGGCAGGAAAAGTAGGAGTGAGTGGCAGGTGGCATCCCATGGCAGAGGCAAAGCTCTGGCTGCACAGGCATGTTCGTGCTAGGCTTCGTGGGCAACATATTTCCTTGGCCTTCCAAGGAAACAGGTTAGCTCGGGAAAAAATACCCAAATGTTGAGTTCAGAAAGGATCCTGCATCTGCAGAAAGCAAGGGGAAGCCGGAGGAAAGAGAAGAGTCAGCACATGTGACCAGATCAAAAAACAAAGCCTACTCAAGACCGAGCCTCAGCTTTTGCACTTCTGCCACGGAGGCTGAAGGCACCCTCTGCTTTTTTTTGCCCTGGGATCGCCTAGCCCACGGTCCCTGTGAAGGGACACATCCTCGTGCATACTTTATCAGGACAACCGGCAGTTATCTCCCTTCGGGCCCTGCAGCACTGGTTTCTGCAAGCCCCCAGACGGCCACATCCGGCACGTGGTCTGCAACCCAAGTGAAGAGGAAGGGGGCAGATATCCTGGCCACCTCTTATCCCTTCCCCACAATCCGAGATCACTGATCCATCCCAAAAGGGGAAAAGTTCCCAGAAACACCAGCAAAGACCCACGTGCTTGGTTGGGCAGCAGAAATGAAACTGCCGAATAAGGATGAGCTCTGGCAAGAGAGCAAAGCGCCCAAGAAAGAGTCCTGACAGGGCACTTTTCTGAAGAGAGGCCAAAGTCTCAGAAGTGACGCTTGTACTTCTAGCTCTGTGTAGAAGTGAAAGGGGACCTACTGTCCTACTGTGTTTCAGGCAACAGGCAGCCCCCGCCAGATCTACCTGAGACAGCGCGACTGCCAACGGCCCAGGCGCGGCGCGTTCCTCACCTGTGCTCTGCGGGGTATTGGTTTTCGGACATCATCTTTGGCATGTGCATGGGTGGGTGAGGTGGCCGTGGCACGGCAAAGGTTTGCTGCCTCTGTTCCTGAAGAGGGTGAGGGGCTGGAGGAGCCCCCCGGAGTGGGGTGGCCGGGGCCGCATGGGCAGCAGCCTGCACGGCCGGGGCCGGCGGGGGGGGGGAC